ATGTTAGAGAAGGAGGAAGACAAATAAATGGTTCATCGTACAGCCATCACGTCTCCTGAGTCACACTAGTCGACAGTATCTAGCATGCCCTTCATCATGGCCTCATCCAAGAAAGTCATCAACATCCTGAAGTACTCGGGAGCATCAACGGACGTCCCCTTTGACAAGTGGCTCCGGCTCTTCGAGGTGAGGACTGCGACCGCGGCATGGACGGAGCGAGACAAGCTGTGCTACTTCTCTGATTACCTTGAAGGTGAGGCTTTCCGATGGTTTCTCATCGAGGCTTTCGACACAGACGCGTCTTGGGAGAGCTTATGTGAACGCATGAAGGAACACTGTACGAGTGGCGTCGCGGATCGTTTTCGCCAATTCATTCATTGCCGGTTGCGAACAGGCCAGAGCTTGAAGGAATACTATAATGAAAAAATGTCTGTCGGACGCCTCGCCGACTTAAAGGACACGCACCTTATATCAGGCCTCATCGACAGCCTTCCTGCGCATATGGAGATGGCGCTTGTTAGGCTCAGCTCGTCTACACCAGAGGCATGGCTTACAGCTGCACTTCGTGTAGAGTCAACCATGCAGAGAGTGAAGTTCCATCGCTTTCCACCAGCCCGGAATACACAGATTAACGTAACAAGTGACAGAACTAGTGAACGTTCACGTAATTCCCCGGTACGAACACCCGTGCGTGAAAGCAAACACTGCGCGATGGATGGCTTACCCCGACAGATGCAGTGGCGTAATGAATGCCCACGACGCGCAAGCATTTCCGCCCTCTTCACCAACCAGGGAAACAAGGAGGGCGACCCAGAGTTCATGTAATTCAGTTTGATGCCCTCATTAACGGGTACCCTGTCAGCGCTACACTTGATACCAGAGCTACGATTACCTGTATCAGCGAAGCAGTGCTGAAGGCACTTCACCTGCAAATAATAAGGAATTCATGCATCTCAGTTCAACAAGTCACATCATCTACCAAAACTTTGGGTCGCGTTAATCTTTGGGTCGCGTTAATAGGAAAAGTGACAAGAGAAATTCAGGCTCATGTTCTACAAGGCATGAAGAGCAACTTACTTCTTGGCTTGGATGGTGCTTGCCTCTTTAACTTGTCGCTGAACCTTGACACCATGAGTCTACGCCAATGGAAAGACATCCTCCATTTTTGTACACAAAACCACACCACGGCTAACATGGGCGCGTCTTTGCAAGGTGTTGAAGTTTGCGATGTATTACATCTAAATAAAACTCAACAGTTGGCATTGAAGCAGCTTATCCACAAGTACGATGACATTTTTTCCAAGTCACAGACAGACATTGGGTGCATCAACGGCTAAATGCATCGAATTCATCTCACCAACAATGTTCCCATTCGTAGAGCTCCTTATCGATGCTCAGAAACTGACAGCTTTGAAATGGACAGACAGATCAACGAGCTGCTCAAGCAAGGCGTCATACGGCTATCTACCTCCCCATATGCTGCGGCAGCGCTTCTGGCAGAGAAAAAAGGGGAAGGGGACGCACGCACTTCTGCATCGACTACCGCAAGCTGAACGAATTGACGGTGCCTGATTATCAGCCCATCCCTCGCATCGATGACGTTCTCGATTCTCTGGGGAAATCTACGTACTTCTCGACATTAGACATAACGTCAGGTTACTGGCACGTGAAGATTCACCCTGATGACATTCCGAAAACGGCGGTTGTACCACGTACCGGTCACTACGAGTGGCTCGTATGCCTTTTGGCCTTCGGACTGCTCCGGCCACCTTCGAACGGGCTGTCAAATTCATATTGACAAAACACCGTTTGCAGAACGTCACGAGTTACTTCGATGACATTGTTGTCTACTCTGACACGTTTCCAGACCACCTGAGGCATCTGGAGGGCGTTTTGAAAGCTTTCAAAAGCGAAGGCGTCAAACTGAAATTAAGGAAATGTCAATTCGCTCGAACCTTCATTGAGTACCTGGGACACAAGGTTTCGCAGGGCACCGTCACTCCAAAGCAAAGCAACGTGGACGCAATCCTACGGTTTCCGACACCATCACGCCCTAAAGAGTTGCAGCGTTTTCTCGGCACTGTCAATGTTTACCGGCGATACATCGACCACTTCAGTCAAATCGCTCATCCACTGACGCGCCTGCTCAGCAAAGACGCCACCTGGAACTGGGATGCGGAGTGTTAACTGGCTTTCACTCAGCTCAAGAAATGCATGACAGAAGAGCCAATCCTTAACATCTACGATGCCACTAAGCCTTGTGTGCTATACTGCGATGCATCCAACAGAGGTATCGGCGCCGTCTTGAAGCAGGCTGATGATGAAGGTAGAGAACACCCAATTGCATACCATTCACGGAAGTTACTAAAACACAAAATTAATTACGCCATCACAGAACTCGAATATTTGGCAATTATCGACGCCATAGATAAATGGCACTGCTATCTACACGGGAAACCTTTCACTGTCATCACAGATCTCGCAGCGTTGCAATGGCTTAAAAGCATCAAGAATCCCCGAGGCCGACTTTTCCGGTGGTTTTTGAAACTCTCCATGTACGACGTGAACGTCAAACACCAAAAGGGCATTGACAACATTGAAGCTGATGCACCATCTCGAAGCCCGGTAGTTCAACTCCTATCTGCTGAGCAACTGCGAGAGCATCACAACGACAAACCACCCGGAAAGCATACCATTGAGAACGGACTGAGTATAGTGACACGCAGAGGAATACGAAGTCTATGTGCCTTTTGCCCTCCTGTCTTCTCTTCTCCAAAAAGCTCATGACGCTTTGGGTCATGTCGGGGTAAAGAAGACGTTGCGGCTTCCCTCTCCACAGTACTATTGGCCCGACATCATCACCGACGTGAGCGAGTACATACGCCACTGCGATACTTGCCAGCGCTGAAAGAAACCGAAGACCAAACAATTTGGTTCCTTGGAGTCTTTGCCACCAGCGGAACATCCGTTTGATCTTCTGGCCATGGACACTATCGGAGGTTTTGGCAACTACGGCTCGTCCAAAAGATTCATTCACTTAGCCGTTGATCATGCCACCCGTTATGTCTGGGCTTTCGCACACAAGAATGAGACTTGCGACGCGTACATCTCTTGCCTGAAGAGTATCTTCGCTGCTGGAAAGCCGCGGAAGTTCCTTTCCGACCGCGGCACAGGATTCATTCCGGCAAATTTAAGCAGTTCCTCAAGCACAACAATATTCATCAGTTTTTAACAAGCTCACAACGCCCGCAGTGTAATGGCTTAAACGAGCGCACTAATCAGACGATCGTTACTCGCCTCCGATGCGAGATCAACGACGAACCCCGAAAACCGTGGCCGCGTCTCCTCTCGGACGTTGTCGACGAGTACAATAGAACACCTCACGAAGTGACAGGTTACCCACCCTGCTTTCTTATGTATGGCGCACCATCGTATCCCTATCTTCTTCCAGGCGTTACCGAAAATCTGCAGGAAGCTCGTACAAACGCAGTCCGCAATTCAGTAGCATATCACGAGAAAAACAAGATCATATATGACAAGAAGTTCTTTCCATTAGAGCTTCAAGTGGGAGACTTTGTTCTATATGAAACACCCTGGCACCCGAACCGCGGCAAACTCAGTGCAATCATGGAAGGACCCTATAGGACCATACGCAAGATTTCGGCAGTTAACTACGAGATCGACCGCAGCGTGGCTCCACTCAATCGCCAGACTGACATCGTTCATGTCGGGAGACTTAAACGATATCATCCGCCCCTGCATCTACGTCTCTCACGGGGGAGGGGGGAAGCGTGTGACGAACCACACGAGAACGGTGTGCTGGAATGGTAGAGAAAGAAGAAGACAAAGACAAACAAATGGTTTATCGTACAGCCATCACGTCTCCTGCGTCACACACACACACACACAAACACACACACACACACACACACACACACACACACAAACACACACACACACACACACACACACACACACACACACATATATATATATATATATATATATATATATATATATATATATATATATATATATATATATATATATATATATATAGGTGAGAAGCGGCACGGCGGCAAAGTGACTCCTCTTACCATGGACTATTTGTTGACATAATTGATTTACGTTCATAATTGATTTTAAGCCGCGAAAAAAACCCAAAAACACGACCACAAGAGATGACACGGGGCACATCTTGTGTTGTTTTCGCGTTTTAAAATCAGTTTTAGGTTCCTAGCAATTTTCACAAGAATTCAGTAAGCCACAAAAGGGGATGCGGCAACGTACGAAACTTCGGGCTATCACATTGCAACTAAAGTTACACGAAAAAAAGATAAACCCTTTCCTCACTCTAGTAAAGCCAAATAATTAAGAAACTCTTGGAATTTTCACATGAACTGATAAAGAAGTGGCAGGTGTATACACCTCAACGGTTGACTAGAGAAGAACATCACCATTGTTCTGTGCGCAAATACCGCCGTTTGTCAGCGGAGATGTTATGAAATGCTCAAGTTATTCCAACATTTCAAACTGATTAAAAAATGTGTTGACCAGCTAGCTTGATCCCAAAGCACTAGTAGGCTTTGTCCAGATACGCGAACTCTGGGATACAAAGGTTTGCATATTTGAGTTGGCAGCGATTCGGCACATTGTCATCATTATGCGTCTCTGCGACGTTTCACCCGCGTATTGTCGACGACACAGAATACGATGGAGGGGCTACTGTTCTTTGCCGATGTCCTTTCCAAGTTTCGCAACTAGGGGCGAAGCTTGTCCGTTGGCGGCGTTCGCCGTTCATGCAAGGTATACCCACTATACGCCACGACGACGATGATCAAGATGACAAACAACAAGTCGCGTGCGACTCGTTGTCTCGATATGCTCTACGATGCATTTCGTATGACTGGAAACGGGAACATGCAAGGACATTGTGTCTGCGAACTTCGGGCTGGATGCAATACCACAAACCAGTAATAATCATCTCAATGAAGGCAGTAGGAAATTAACAATACAACATACCATTTATTACATAACTGCACACCGCTTTGTCACTCATTTATATGCGTGATTAGTCAACGTCACGGGTGATTGACGGTAACACCGGTTTTGCTGCTTCGCCCAGGCATCATTCACTTTGTGAATATGTCGTGATGTTTTTCGAGCAGAGCACAACCTACCCTCCGAAAGCTTGGGGGCGCTAGAGTCCGTCTTAGCGGCAAGTGAACGACGGTCAAGGGCAGGAAAATGCCACTGTGCAAATTATGCGAACCCCCAAATTCCACAAAGTTTAACAAAAGCGATATTCAATTAAATAGAGTCGGGCTTATTTTTATACCCTGTTTCCAAATTACAACGCTTATTATGAAACGCATTTCTTTCAACGCAGTTTTGAAGTGCAATGGTGCTGCTGAAGCCAAAATTTTCTCAAAATAAAGTGCAATAACAAAAGTCAGTATTTACGAATTGCGATTTTTAACGTGCATAGAGCAATTAATGGCTGAATTACGGGTATTTTGGTGCGCATAGCACCAATGAAGTGCAATGAATTTCCCACTAGGTTGCACTTGTTGCTTGTTAGAAAATACGTGTTCCTACCGCTAAAATTTGTAACTTTCAGCGTAATGAACTTATATGCGCAGGAGGTTTGGAACTACAGGCCCGAAACCGGCGCCTAAATTTCATAAATATGGCGAATAGTGACCGAACCGATTTGCTCTTTCTTATCTGGGGGTCTAAGTCGACCACCCGGATATCTTTAACGATCAGCTGAAGATGTAGGCGTGCATTCCTACCACATCTAAATGCAGCCCCACTGCCGTATTCGAACCACTGCAGCAGTACGTCAAGACCAGGTTCTGTTGAGCAATCCCTGCCACGTGGTACAAGCTGCCTCTTGCCAGAGGTACTTGTACAAACTGGTTCTTTTTCTCGCGGTTCCTTGTGTGAAGAGCCGGTGAATCTGCTCGCACACGGTGCAACCGAAGGGGGGCCTTTCAATGGCGTACTGCTTCTTCCACTCGAAGTAGCGCCTGTACTGCTCGGGGCGTCCCTGCAGCTCCAGCAGATACGCTGCCAATTCTCGAGCTGTCCTGAAAGAGGCAAAGTTTATGTACGACCCCGGAGGCGCCACCGCCGAGTAATTGGCGCCGCCCATCACGACGGGCACCATGGAGTTGAGCAGCGGTAGGAACAGCTTCTCGGTGCTGTAATCTTTGCAGATGGAGTTCTCGAAAGCCAGGTAGAAGGAGTAGTTTGCTGCGATTTCCCGGTAGCAGCCGAAGCGATGTTCGCGGCAGCGCCGCTGTCCGCAGCCACCGAATATGTCCACGGGCACGAACTTCTGCAGTTCCTGCACGTAGCTTTCGCGGCGGCTGAAGCTCTTGCAGTTGGACACGATCCACGCGACGGGTCTCACCTTCGGTTGCGGCGCCAATAATGAGTGATCGACGCCGCTCGTTCTCCTGCGCACCGTCTTGAAGCTGTGCCTGTGTACGACGTCGGCGTCGAAACGGTACGAGAGAGTCCAATTGATGGCCAGCTCGTCCAACCGCGAAGGGTTCGAGGGAAGCCTGTGTGGAGGCTCCATGGCGTACAACAGCCAAGCCTGGGCCATTCGGCGGCGGCGAGGCAGGCTGTTCCAGAAAGACTTGAAGAAGCTTTGCAAGACGACCACGTCGCTGCTGTCCAGCTCAGCTCGGTCTTGGCTGAAGTTGCATGCAAACGGGCACCCCTTGACGGCATCGTGTCCGAACATGCGATGAAAAAAGTCGCGCCTAAAGCTGTGCCACATAAGGACGCGATAAGTTCGCATTGGCGAGTAGTGACCAGGATACGTCATATTACTGTGACTGAAGACATGGAACGAGTATAGCACTGCACAGACGACAACGCACAACACAGCGCACGGCAACGCCGACTTGAACTTGCACCCTCTTCTCATATCGCATCTCAGACGCATCACTGTTCTTGCGAACTGCTGTCGACGAGTGCCCTGCAACGAGAGACAGACCAGTGTATCGGTCGGGGGGCTGCAGCTCACTGCTTGCCAGTATTTTAGTTCGAAAGCACTGAATGACGCGTAAGCACGACAGCTCAATTGTGAACACACACTTGTTGGACGACGAAATGCGCGCCCGAACTTCCTCTTTTCATTTGTGCCTCAAGCTCTCTATCTCTTATATATATATATATATATATATATATATATATATATATATATATATATATATATTGTAAGCACCCAGAATCCCTGTCCAACAAACCATTCCTGCGTGGATCGTCAACGCCCGCCAGCGCAACCCACCCATCTTCTGTGGTCTTCCACGCGACGACGTCGAGGTATGGCTAAAAGAATACGACATGACCAGTGTTTATAACCAAGGGGATGAGCCTCAAAAACTTCGTCTCGTGGCCTTCTATCTGTCCGATGTCGCGAAAACGTGGTTTTTTAACCACGAGAGCAGCTTCCCGGATTGGCCTACTTTTGCTCAACAAGTCCGTAGGATTTTTGGAAAACCGAACATCCATTCCGAAGTGTCGAAACGAAAGCTCGATGGGCGTGCCCAACTTCCCGGGGAGACGTACACTTCGTACATTGAAGACGTCCTTGCCCTTTGCCACCGCGTGAACTGGGCGATGACAGAAGCTGATCGTGTTCGCCACATCATCAAAGGGATAGGCCATGTCGCGTTTAACGCTCTGGCTGTTAAAAACCTCACCACCGTTGAGGACGTCATCACGACATGTCAGCATCTTGATGAACTCCAAGCCATGCGATTGCACCCAGACTACCCAGACGCCGCCGGTCTCCTTCACCTCTACGACGCTCAACATCTCCTCTGAGACCGGCTGTACCTACTTCTGACTACCAGTCGGAAAACTAGCTGGTGCAGTTTTTGGAGGGAAAGCTGCATCGCTCGAACAAACACCAAGACCTCCAGAGGGCCCAGCCAACTTGTTATTAGTGTATGCGGAAGGGGTACCAGTTCAGGCATTGGTGGACACGGCGGCTGCTATTTCTGTTATTCATGCGGATTTGTGTACTCGTCTACGTAAGGTTACCACACCTTATACTGGCACTCTCTTACGTAGCGCAAATGACTCGCAGATACGGCCATCAGCACAGTGCACTGTTAGAGTTTTCATTGATGGGATTCGGCATCATATTCAGTTTGCCGTGCTGGATTCTTGTGCTTTTATGCTTATTTTAGAATGGGACTTTCTTTCTGATGCTGCTGCTTCCATCTTTTGTCGACAACGACTCATACATATGCGAGAGACGGATGATATTTCAACCGATATTATCACGTGACCGGCTATGAACAGCCAATGACGTCCTTGTGCCACCTAATCACGAGCACGTTCAATGATCACGGTTATGTCTGACTCCATTGACCACCGTGACGTCCTAGTCAGTCCATCAGCCCGTTGTCTATCCAGAGGGATTGCACTTTCATCGAGTCTTGTCCGCTTCTCCAACGGCACCGCATTTCTCGCAGTACTGAATATCACCAATGAGCCGATTCTGCTGACCAAGGGCACTGTTGTAGTTTCCAGCGTGGACACACAACCTATCTCTGTAGTGGCTTCGGATACCAGTCTGGTGGAATCACGTTCAATACCAACAGATGCTCCGCCCACTACGGCTCTCGTCAATACCATCAGCACGTATCTCACTCCCCCGCAAGCAGACGAACTACTGGCGTTGTTGTCTAAGCATAAATTTTCTTTCGACGTACATTCCACTGCTCTAAGCCAGACTTCTGCGGTGGCTGATCGCATACACACCGACGGAACTTCTATTGTCCGTCGTCGACCATACCGTGTTTCTTCCAGCGAACGCGAGATCATCGACAAGCACGTTGCTGATATGCTCAAGCAAAACATCATCCGCCCCTGCTCAAGCCCTTGGTCGTCACCTGTCGTTCTCATAAGAAAAAAAAAGACGGTTCGGCGCGATTCTGCGTTGACTACCGCGCATTAAACAAAGTAACCAGAAAAGACGTATATCCCTTGCCTCGCACTGGTGATGCCTTAGATTCCTTACAAGGTGCGGAATATTATTCGAGCCTTGACCTGCGCTCCGGTTATTGGCAAATTCCAATGCACGAAGATGACAAGGAAAAAACTGCCTTTGCCACACCCGATGGGCTTTACGAAATTAACGTCATGCCTTCCGGCCTCTGCAATGCGCCAGCAACGTTTGAACGACTGATAGACACTGTATTGCGGGGCCTTAAGTGTAAAACATGTTTATGTTACCTTGACGACATCGTCATATTTTCTTCAACATTCAAACAGCACTTGCAGCGCCTGGATGAAGTACTGACGTGTCTCGCAGCTGCTGGCCTTCAGCTCAACACCAAGAAGTGCCACTTTGCCAGCAAAAGTATTAAAGTACTCGGACATCTCGTCAGCAAAGATGGAATCCGGCCTGATCCTGACAAGATTACCGCCGTTCTTCACTTCCCAGTGCCTCAACGCGTCAAATAGCTCCGAAGCTTTCTTGGTCTTGCGTCGTACTTCCGGCGCTTTATACGAGACTTCGCCACTATTGCTGCGCCACTTCACCAACTCCTTTCTTCACCAACTCCTTTCTTCGTATGGTCGGACGAATGCCAAATGGCTTTTGACACCTTCAAACGTGCCCTCACGTCTGAGCCAGTGCTTTGTTATTTCGATAACGCCGCACCCACTCTCCTCCATACTGATGCCAGCGGACACGGACTCGGTGCTGTACTTCTGCAACGAACAGAGCGTTATGACGAACGTGTGATCGCATACGCAAGTCGCACCCTCACAGCAGCAGAGAAAAACTACACCATCACCGTGCAGGAGTGTCTCGCCGTTGTATGGGCCATACAGAAGTTTCAACCATATCTTCACGGCCACCACATTACCGTCGTCACTGACCACCACGCTTTGTGCTGGCTGTCGACGTTGAAGAATTTGTCTGGACATCTCGGTCGCGGGATACTTCGTCTCCAAGAATACGAGTTTGACGTTATCTACAAATCCGGCAAGAAACACAACGATGCCGATGCCCTTAGCCGCTGTCCTTTACAATCCTCATCAGGCACTCCTTGCTTGTCGCCAACTGTGAGTGAACCCATCAAAGTGTCTCCGTCAGTTCATTCACTCGCCGCTGTCGATTTTCTTTCTACCTTCAACAACGACACGTTTGCATCCCACCAACGCAGCGACACTTACTGTCGCTCTATAATGCAGCGCCTTCAAGGCTCCTCTCGTCCTTCCAACGCTCGCGCCCATCGACAGCTGCGGAACTTCAAGACTGAAAACTCAATCCTTTACCGCTTTGTCTTCCACCCCGAAGGATAGCGCTGGGTTCCTGTTGCTCCTCGTTCCCTAAGGGCGCAGATTTTAGAGGCGTTTCACGATAACCCCAAGTCTGGTCATCTCGATTTTCAAAAAACCTATGAACGCATCCGCAGTCGTTTTGCCTGGCCTGGCCTTTCCAACTGCGTAGCGCGATATGTTGCGTCATGACCGCTATGCCAACGCCGCAAGCGACCCACTTCCTCCCCGGCCGGTCTTCTACAACCTCTTCCGTGTCCTGACGCTCCCTTCGCTGTCATCGCATTGACCTCTACGGACCGCTACCAATATCAGCTAGCGGCAAGCGCTGGATTGTCACAGCAGTTGACCACTTAACAAGGTACGCCGAAACAACTGCACTTCCTTCAGGATCAGCAGAGGACATTGCCACATTTTTTCTGGAGGCAATCTTTCTAAGACATGGTGCACCACGCATCTTATTGAGCGATCGCGGCAAGGCGTTTCTCTCGAAACTACTCGAACAAGTCCTCCACGCATGGAATACGATTCATAAGACGACATCCAGCTACCATCCCCAGACTAACAGCCTCACAGAGCGCTTCCATCAAACTTTGACCGACATGATATCGATGTATATCAACCCCGACCACACCAACTGGGATACCATCCTGCTATTCGTGACTTTTGCGTACAATACCGCTACGCAGCGCACCACGGGCTATTCCCCATTCTTTCTCGTCTATGGCCGTCAACCAACATCTCCGCTCGACATCTCCTTTTTTGACGTTCCTGTGAACTCGTCATCGTCATCGAGGGAGCACTTAATCTCTCGCCTGGCCGATTGTCGCCGACGCGCCCACCTCAATACACAGGCAAGCCAACAAGAGCGGAAGACTCGCTACGACGGCGTCCACCGCGTAGTTCACTTCAATACTGGAGACGAAGTACTGTTGTGGACCCCAACGCGGGTTTCCGGCCTGTGTGATAAGTTTCACTCACGTTTCATCGGCCCCTACGCTATAGTCGAGCAGACGTCTCCTGTTAACTATCGAGTAACCCCTGTTTTCATGCCTCCCGACGGCCGTTTTCGTGGTACGGACGTTGTTCACGTGTCGCGCTTAAAACCATTCGTGCACCGTAAACCATTCGTGCACCGTACACCACCGTCATAAACAGCGGCCTAATTGGCCGCTTCCGCGCGAGGGGGAAATCAGTGTAAGCACAATATTGACAATGTTTGACCTTCATCTTCTTCATCTGTATATAACCATCATCACAAAAAAACGTCGTCTTCGTTCGAAGGGTTGATCAGGCGATTCGGCCTAATAAACGCCGTCGACTCCAACGCTGCTACTGTCTTACAATATATATATATATATATATATATATATATATATATATATATATATATATATATATATATATATATATATATATATATATATATATATATATATGCAATGGCAACTAGCCCACCTATGCTGCCTGCAGCAAACCTTACGGACCCTCTAACGCGCTTATGGCTCGTACTGCGGACGCGCTCATAGAAGTTTCATGCTGATCAAGTCGAGAGTTAGGCGGAATTCCGCCTGGCCAGCTAAAGGCAGGGACGATGGAAACACAGTGCCAACCAAAGCAAAAGTATACTTTCAAAAAGACGTCTCGTTTTTGTGACCAAGGCTTTCACGTGGAAGA